GGGGGGGGGGGGGGGGGGATGAAATTGGGGGGGGGGGTTACCCGAAGAGCTTTATTTGTCTGCTTTCCTCCCTCTCCCCTTTTTTCCCTAGGCTTCTCCCCCCCCTCCCCGAAGCAGCTGAGACTGTTTTTTGGGGTGGGTGGGTGTCGCAGTGTGGACAAGGGGAGATCCTCGCCCCCCCAGAATAAATCCTTTGGATTTGGGACCTGTTTGATCTGGTTTTTGTGGGGAGGGGGAGAGAGGGGAGATCCTTTCCTGAAGAGAGTGGTTGCTGCTTTGTGGAACCTGCCTCCCAGAATAACACCCGTCCCTCCCCATCAATTCTGTATTTTGTGTTTCCTATTTTGTGTTGGCTTTACGTGCTCGGAAGAGATGGGAGAATATTTCTACAAATGCTGTTCGGTTAGTTACCTTCCAGAGCCGAAAAGTTGCACCGAGGAAAGGCTGAGGTGTCCTGCTCTGGCCAGGAGGTCAGACTAGAAGGCCTCCAAGGTCCCTCAGGTGGAGAAGAAACGGGCTGATGCCTCCTGCCATGAAGGGGGGGGGAGGTTGGGTGGGGTGGGGGGGCTTTGGACAAGAAAGATCTCCAAGTCCCTTCCAGAGAGGAGGCAAAACCAAGGTCTCCTGCTCGAGCAGGAGGATGAGTTAGAAAACCGCCACGGTCTCTTAGGCGAAGGAGAGCAAAGATAAGATTTCCTGCCTTGGGAAGGAAGGGTGGGAGTAGAAAACCACCATGGTATCTTAGCTGGAGGGGGGGAGATTAAGCTCTCCTGCTGAGGCACGAGGCTGGATTAGAAGACCTCCAACGTCCCTTCCAGCCCTATGATTCTAGGTCAGACCTGGTCATTGTACTGACCCTTTGATTCTCCCTGTCTGGTCCGTCCGTGTGGATTGCATTTATTTTTTAGGTAACTGCTATCCCCCCCCCCCAGTTTGCGTATGATGCCTGTGCATCTTCACAACCCCATTGGTTTGGCCCTTCACCACAGCCCCAGTTTCTCATGTAGCCCCCCCCCCCCCCCCCCCCCCCCCCCCCCCCCGCTGGGCAAATAACGCATTCAACTGAAGTTTCTGCATGATGGCTGCAAGTGCCCAACATTAAATAAGTTGAGCCTTGACCTGGATCCAAAGGTCACCACCATGTGAGTCAGAGCATGGCTAGCACATGTGGGGGAATCTTTTAAAGCACCTGCTTGCTTGTGGAAGAGAAAGAGTGTTTTGGTTGATAAAAGCCCCCCCCCCTCCACAGGTGTATCTGTGCAAACTGTAATTCAAATTTTCTCTTTAAATCCAGGTCTTTGTGGGGGGGGGGGGTAAGTTTGAATCAGCAAGCCTCAAACATGGAAGATTGGAAATTGGGGAACTCGTCTGTAACAACAGGCTCTGCAGCTTTTTTTTTTTTTTTAAATTCTTCAGAAGCAAACTTGAAAAGGACAAAGGGTTGCTATTGTTTGATAAGGATTTGAATCCAGCTCTAGGGGAGAGCACCTGCTTGGAAGCACTTGATTTTTTTTATAAGCCTATTAGGAATTTTTCTCTAAAACCACCTCCTTTTATATATGTAGGGCTTCCCCTACCTTTTTCCCATATTAAAAAAAAAAACATCCGTAGGTCTTTAGTCCCAGAGAGCAAGCAAATAGGAAAGGAAAATACAGGTAGTCTTTGACTTATGACCACATTTGAGCCCAAAATTTCTGTTGCTAAGTGAAACATTTGTTAAAAGTGAATTTTATCGCATTTTACAATGTGAATCACTGGAGATGTTAAGTTACTAACACGGTTGTAAATTACACGGCTTCCCCATTGACTTTGCTTGTCAGAAGGTTGCAAAAGGGGATCACCTGACCCCAGGGCACCGCAACCGTCATAAGTATGAGTCAGTTGCCAAGGGTCTGAATTTTGATTACGTGGCAATGGGAGTGGTTGTAAGTGTGAAAAATGGTCATAAGTCACTTTTTAAGTGGCGTAAATTTGAATGTTCACTAAATGAACTGCTTGCTGTAAGTCAAGGACTACCTATATTCTTGATAGGTTGTACCCAATTTTCTTTCATTTTTATTACACAAAGGGATGCTTTATATTGTCTCGAGGCATGGTTGAACTAATGGCATTCAGAAATTAGACTTTAATACATGCCTGTACGAAGGAGAGAGTTAGTTGTGAATTTGTGGGACTTCATCAGTATTATTTATTCAATGTATGTGCCACCCCTCACTGATAATGGCAATTCTGGGTGGCTTACAGACAATTTTAAAAGATAAATACCCGGTAGAGGACAAAAGCACCCACATCTTTTTTGATATTTAAAGAATGCATTATTGATAGTCCTTTGGGCCCAGTGCATTAATTCCAATCAAGGGGAGAGCCAGCCTAGAAATGAAAGAGAAATTTCCCAACAGTGAGAACAATGAATCGGTTTGCTTCCAGGAGTTGTGGGTGCTCCATCACTGCAGGTTTCCAAGAAGAGGTAGGACAACCCCTTGTCTGAAATGGTACAGAGCCTCCTGCTCGAGCAAGGGGGTTGGTCTAGAGCAGTGTTTTTCAACCTTTTTTGTGCAAAGGCACACTTTTTTCATGAAAAAAAATCATGAGGCACACCACCATTAGAAAATGTTAAAAAAATTTAACTCTGTGCCTATGTTCAATATAGGCGGGTGTTTTTCCCACGGCACACCTTACACTATGTCACGGCACACTAGTGTGCCGCGGCACAGTGGTTGAAAAACACTGGTCTAGAGGACCTCCAAGGTCCCTTCCAACTCTTGTCGTTCTGTTAATCCCTGCACTGAGGGGAACTGGGCTGCCTGGCAAAAATGGGTTTCAGCAGCTCAGCCTTCCTTTCTCTCTCTCTCTCCCCTTGCTCACCTGCACGTGTAACCTCAACTGTTTCTCTTGAATCCTGTTTTATTTTTCATAGCACGGCTTTCATACTGAAGGATCCCAGTGGACACCAAAAAGCTAATGCACCTAGCAGCGCTGAAATTGCAGACACCTCTGAGGTGGAAAGGGACCACAGGTGTATCTTTGAAAAGAATATGGATGGGTCTGAAGAGGTAGAAAGGTAAAAACTTGGACCAAGGCAATAGGGTAAACCTTTGTTTTTGCAAATGACTCTCTCCTTGTTTTTGTGGATGCCTGAGCAACATTGTTCAATTCCAGAAATTAATCGTACAAAAAAAAAAGAGGAATTCAGCTTCTGTTTTGCTAACCTAAATTCAACATTCCAAGCCCCCCCTCCCCTCCCCAAATGGATGTCTTTGCTTAGCAGGTGTCGAAACGGGCAACATTCAACAATTCTTTGGGGTAGAATTACTGGCAGGAAGTCGCTCCCCTCCCCACCTTTCCCATTCTTTCCCTTCTTCTCTTGTCTTATTTTTTTCTCATCTAGTCCTTCCCTTCCTTTCTTCCTTCTCTGTTCTTGTCTTCTCCTCTCCCTTTCCTTTTTTCCTTTCTTTCCCCCTTCCTTTTTCCCTTCCCCTTCCTTCTTTCTCTTATCTTCTTCTCTTCTCTCCTCCTTCCTGTACTTTAAAATGTTAAGTATTTTGACCAGACTGGCAGGGGATAGATAAATTTTGCCTTTTAACATATCCCTCCCCTTTATCTTTTGCCAGGGTGGGGTGGTGGGTGCTTAAATAAATTCCAAAATTGCAAGTAGCGTCTTGCAAAGACAGGGCCACTGAAATGTGTTACATTTGGGGGAACGACTTCTGCTCCACACTTTCATGGCCTATAAGGCGTCCGCCATTCTTTTAAAACCAGATGATCGTAACTTTTTTTGGCTTAGGTGAAACGGAGCTGGACATGGTTTGGTGTTTGAATTTTTAAGTTGCTCTCTGAATTGCATCTTGAGCAATATTTGTTCCCTCTGGGCCTCGCTCTCCAAGTTCCATAAATTTTTTAAGAGGTGCGGGCCTGCGAGATCTGAGTGTCAATCTTAAGGCAGGAAAAAGGCAGAGAACGATTCGGAAATAAAACCCATTATGTCTTGGAGATGCTTTTTGCTTGCTGGAGAAGATGGCTTCCAGCACAGAGGGAACTTAAATAGGGGAAATTATTAGCGTATGGTTGATCGTTACAGGAAGTTACAGTTAACAGGCAAATTTCAGGTAGTCCTCAACTTACCACCACAGTTGAGCACAAATTTTCCTTTTCTAAACAAGACAATTGTTAAGTGACTTTTGCCCTATTTTACAACCTTTCTTGCCACGGTTGTTAAGCAAATTGCTTCAGTTAAACTTAGTAACCTGGTTGTAAAGTGAATCCGGCTTCCCCATTGACTTTGCATGTCAGAAGGTCGCAAAAGGGGATCACGTGACTCGGGGACACTACAACCGTCATAAATACGAGCCAGTTGCCAAGTTTCCGAATGTCAATCATAGGGATGCTGCAACAGTTGTAAGTGTGAAAAACGGTCGTAAGTCACATTTTTCAATGCCGCTATAATGCCTAGTGGTCACTAAATGAATGATACTGCAGTTAGTCTTCGAGTTAAAACCATTCCTACAGTGACTGAAGCTACATCGGCACTTTAATGACCCTTGCAGTGTCCCGCCAGTCACGTGATCAGAATTTGGGCGTTTGGTTTCAGACTCACACTTAGCGACAGTTGCAGTGTCCTGGGGTCATGTGATCCTCATTCGCGACCTCCCATCTGGCTTCCGTCAAGCAAAAGTCAACGAGGAGAAAAACCTGGATTTGTTTAATGGCTGCACGATTTGCTTAACCCCCCTGTGAGAAAACCGGATGCAATTCAGCTTAAGAGCCGCTTAGCTTAGCAAAAGAAATCCTGGTCTAAATTATAGTCATAAGTCAAGGAGTTCCTGCAGTCACAGATTGACTTCTTTAGATTTTCTTGGCAGGGAGAAAGAGGTTCAATACTTATTTCCTCCTTTTGCTGAACGTGGATAGCTAAAACCCCAAAAGCGTGAAGGGCTCTCTTGCAAATCCAGAAATGGGTATTTGTCTTAATCTTTTTTAGCTGAAACCTGACAAATCTGCCATGCCTGCAGTGCAAAACTGCATACATACATACATACATACATACATACATACATACATACATACATACATACATATTTCCCCCTTCACTGGGATAATTGCTGCGGAAAGCAGTTTTGAATGGTGGCTGGCAGAGGAACTAAAGTGTTCTGCAATCAGCTCCGGTGTTTTATAAGCAGGCAAGGTCAACTGCATTTAAGGGGTTCGTTTTTTAAAGGCAGGTGGGAAACAGGTGAAACTATTCAGTTATTATCGGATGGCTGCTGTGGCACATACTCCATTTTCAAATGGAAACAAGCTTATTTCACTTGGTCTCGGTTGTGAGTAACGCTGTAAGAGAAGAAGCAAGACCTGCCCCAACTGTGAGTATCTTCCCCCCCCCCCCCCTTCCTGGCCCTCCCCCTCCCTTGGCCGGTCCCTCAGGGTCTAATCGGATGCCTTTGGGATGTTTTGGGGACGGCTGGGTCCTTTGGCGCCTCTGACGGCACCCTCCCATTCGGTTCCCAAGCCAGGTGTCCTTGGTGGCTGCCTTGTTTTGTCAACATGCCTCCCCTCCGGCCCTTCGACTCCTCATCGCCAGGCCCTCAGGATGTGCTGCCCCAAATTCCTTCCCTCCCTCCTTCACAATTCATGCCGGGAGGCCAGCAAATACATACACAGACACACACAGTGCATCCCAATTTGAGATAAGTTCCAATCTCGCCTTAAGCATGAAAGCTGGCGGAGTGACTGGCCCGTCACCAGGAAATGGTGAATTCTAGTCCTGCCTTAGGCATGAAAACCAACTGGGTGACTTGGGGTCAGCCCCTCCCTCTCAGCCCAACCCACCTCACATGGTCGTTGTTGGGGGGGAGAAATTGGAAGAGGATGAGTTGGATGTGTTTGCTGCCACGAGTTATTTGTAAAAATAATAAAGGCGGCATACAAATGAATCAAAATAAATTTATTTTTCTTTTCTTTATTAGCATCCCACCTTTTAAATATTTATAAATTATTCTATAAAAAAATAAGTTCGTTTTTAGTACTGAAGAGCATTTCTTTTTGCCTTCAGAATTGTTGGTTTTCATTTCCAGGTCAGTTTCACCAAGCCCTCAGATCAGAAATGTCCTTGGTTAATATTTTACTCCTTGGACAGATCGCGGATCCCAAGAGTTTAAGCAATAAAAATCATGGTCCACTTCAGCCAGTTCAACACCTTGTGTTAATCCGGAATAAATGAAGGCGGGGTCTCCTGCTTGAGTGGGGAGGGGGTTGGACTAGAAGACCTCCAGCGTCCCTTCCAACCCTGTTAATTCTGTACTCTGTTTCTAGAATTTATAGGTGTCTGCCAGCTACCATTTTGCCTTTCGAAAAATAGGAACCTTCCCACCTGCAGCCTAGCAACCCCATTTCGTGAGGTGGCCTTCTCTCATGGACTCTTGTGGGTCCGTTTTTTTTCCAGTTGTGGCCTAACAAACTGGTTGTGCGTGGAGCAGGGAGGTCTTTTGGTGCTGCTTGATGACATACAGGTAGTCCTCGACTTACAAGCATTCATTTAAGGACCATTCAAAGTTACCACGGCACTGAAAAAAGTTGTCCTAGTGAGTGTTTTTCACCTTTATGGCCATTGCCACACGCCCACAGTCACGGGTTCGAACTTTGGGTGCATGACAACTGGCATGTATATGTGCCCCCCCCCTCTCCGGGGTCACATGATCACCATTTGCAAGTTTCCACCCAGCAAGTTCACTTTAAACAAGCCACGCGAATCACTTAATAACTTCAGTGATTCGCTTAGCAACTGTGACAAAAAAAGGTCACACAGTGGCGCGCACCTCATTTAACAACTGCCGCCTTAGCGATGGAAATTTTGGACGCCGTTGTCATAAATCAAGGACTGCCTGGATCTCTCGGTTCAGACGCTGGAGTCACAAGGCTCGCTGGGCTGCCAGAGACTTAAGGGCTCCGTGATGGAGAGCTTGCATTTAGATTACAGGCACTCCTCGATTTACGACCACAATGGAGCCAGGCATTTCTGTTGCTAAGTAAGACAGCCGTTGATTGAGTTCCACCCCATTTTGCGATCATTCTTGACACGGTTGTTACAGGAATCCCTGCAGTTGTTAAGATGGTCCCATGGTTGTGAAGCGAATCCAGCTTCCCTGTTGACTTTGCTCATCAGAACGTCGCAAAAGAGGATCGCGGGACCCGCTCCGGGACACTGGCTGTCATAAATAGGAGTCAGTTGCCAGGGGTCCAAATTTGGGATTGCATGATTACAGGGATGCTGCAACAGTCGTAAGTGTGGAAAACGCTCATGACGTTCCCTTTTTTTCTGTGGCACTGTAACTTCAGTCACTATGATAAGTCCTAATGGGCAAGAGGATTTTTCAGAGACTGGGTAACATTGGGAGGACAGCGGAACCCAATGCTGGAAGAATCAGAAATACGATTTACATTTTAATTTCCCTGCTTAGCTCCCATCTTTGCAGCATTTTCTTGCGATTTCAGCCTTGGGTGTGTGAGCGGATGGACAAAATTTTGTGTTGTTTCTTTTTTCCAATCCTCCCTTGGCTCCTCTTATCTCTTGCTTCCTTCCACCCCCTCCCCTGGAGGGAGTATTAATTGGTAATTTCAGCTTTCAGCCCAACCGTTTGCTAGTTGCAAAACACAATTGGCAAAGTGAGTTAAACAGAGCCCAGCCATTGCTGCAATTATGTGGTAGTGATTATAGTGCATCAGGGAGAACGTTTGACATCTGCACTTTTTCATTTCCTGCCCCCCCTCCCTCTTAATGACACCTTAGGTAGTCCTCGACTTACAACCATTTATTTAGTGGCCATTTGAAGTTACAACATTACTGAAAAAAGTTGACGCGACCATTTTTCACACTTAACAGCTGCTGCAGCGTCTCTGCGGTCACATGATCAAGATTCGGTCACGTGGTAGCTGACCCGTCTTTGTGACGGTCCCAGAGTCCCATGAACATCCTCTTCTGCGACGTTCTGACAAGCCAACAGGGAAGCTAGATTCGCTTAACGATTGCATGATTCACTTAGCCGTTGTGGCCAAAATGTTGTAAAGCGAGGTGCAATTCACTGAACCACCACCACCCCGCCTTGCTTTGAAGCAGAATTTCGGAGCTCTGTTGCGGTCGTAAGTCGAGGACTCTCTGCAATGTGTCTTGCACCGCGCACTCTGACTTGCAAAGATTTTGCAAGATGTTGGAACAAAGAGGTAGTAGTAAAGTATCATTTAAGGCAGGGCTCTCCAACCTTGGCAACTTTAACCCTGGTGGACTTCAACTCCCAGATTTCTCCAGCTTTGCTGGCCGGGGAATTCTGGGAGTTGAAGTCCACCAGGCTTAAAAGTTGCCAAGGTTGGAGACCCCTGCTTTAAGGAGAAAGTTTGGAAGCCTTATTTTTACATGATGGGTCTGGTTTTTATGGGTGGAATGCAACATATGGAATTTGGCCCAAGCCATGGAGAATTAGTGCCCTCTCAACACCTGGATTGTCTATACCAGTGTTTCTCAACCTTGGCAACTTGAAGATGTCTGGACTTCAACTCCCAGAATTCCCCAGCCAGCATTCGCTGGCTGGGGAATTCTGGGAGTTGAAGTCCAGACATCTTCAAGTTGCCAAGGTTGAGAAACACTGGTCTATACCAGTGATGGCTAACCCTTTTTTAGATCGCGTGCCAAAAGCAGGGGGAGCACAGGGGGGGGGGTCGTGCACGGGCGTGCCACACCTATAATCCTATGCGTGCGACACCCTGCCTGAATGACAGTGCGAAACACACACACACACACAAATATGCTTTCGGCACACTTTTTTCGCTCTCCCCAGGCTCCAGAGGCTTTCTAGGGGAGGGCGAAAACAGCCTCCCCCTAGAGGCTTCAGGAGCGTCCTTGAATCCTCCGGAGGGCGATAATCCGGCTCCACAGGCAAACCGGACATTCAGGAACGGTAACTTCTCGTTTCTCTGTAGGGCAGTTTTTTCCCCTCCGAAGCCTTCAGGGAAGCCTCCGGAGGGTGAAAAACGGCCTCAAAAGAAGGCCAAAGCCAGCTGGCCCATGCGCACTGGTCAGCTGACAGGGCAAGGCCTTGCCTGCCCTAACAAATGGCTACGCGTGACACCTGTGCCATAGGTTTTCCATCACGGGTCTATACAGTCGAGACTTGGGAGGTATGGATAGTCCTTGATTTAGGACCACAACTGAGCCCAAAATTTCTGTTTCTGAGCGAAGCATTGGTTAAGTGAGCTGTGCCCCATTTTACGAACTTTCCTGCGATGGTTTTTAAGTGAATCCCTGCCATTGTTAAGCTAGGAACAAGGTTGTGAAGCCAATCTGGCTTCTCCATCAACTTTGCTTGGCAGAAGGTTGCTAAAGGGGATCACGTGAACCCAAGGATGCCGCGAAACCCTCATAAATATGAGTCGAGCACGTGAATTTTGATCACGTGGCCATGGGGAGGGATGCTGCAGTCATAAGCGTGAAAAAGAAAGGGTCATAACTCCCCTTTTCCCAGTGCCGTGGTCAAAACAGTCACCGAGTATTGTAAATTGAGGACTGCTTGTATATCCCTGGTTTTTTTTTTGTTTGTTTGTTTGTTTTATTCTGGAAAATCGGAACTTTTCATACAGCCTGCAAATCGGACTTTATTGAGCCTTTAGAATTCTGTATTTTCCTCCACATCACTTGTGTCCCACCGATTCCAGGTTTAGTGGCGATTCTGATCTGCTGGCAAACCGTTCGGCCTCTCCTGGCCACATTGTCGGTTTTCTCAAGCAAATAATGCTGTTTGCTGTGTCCACAGCAACCAGCTCGAATGCACCACGGTGGTGTAGCTGGCCATCTTTTTCATGCTTCCTTGGAGACACACACACACACACACACACACGAGATTCAGAAGCTTCTTTTTTAGCCCAGGTGACCTGTTCAGATCAAGGGAATTCCCCTTTCATAAATAATCTACAGGGCTGGGCGATTTTATTTTAGCTGTCATTTTCTAATCAGAACGATTCCATGTTTTGCAGAATTGTCACCAGCCGTTTTCCAGGTAACATTTTGCCTATCCCGCCTCTTCTCCCAAAAAAAAATTTCCGTGACTTTGTGCATAAGGAAAAAAAATAAATTACATTTAGTCCTTCAGTTATGACCATAATTGTTCCAAAAACTTCGATCGTTGAGCAAGACAATTTTTGAGTGAGTTTTGATCCAGTATGCTGGATTATCACTTCTATGCAGAGTAAGCAACTTTACAGCGATACCATCTTTCCTGTTAAAACTGGGCGTTATAAATAAATAGAACGTATTTTAAAGGACAGCTATATTAACAATAGTACATAGTATGATTTGTGTAACTTAACAATTCCTCCAAAATAGTGTTTCACAAATTTGGCAACTTTAAGATGCGTGAACTTTTAACTCCCAGAATTACCCAGTCAGCCAGGAAGAAATTTGACCAACGAAATTGATTTGAGGATGGTTTAGAATATTAAAATTAGCAAGTCAGCAGATATCCTCCAAGAAGTAAGAAAGAAAATAGATCTGAGGACTCTTAGTGAAAAGGAATTAGGAGGAAGAGAATACCAGCTGATGATTTTAGTAGCGGTAATATTTTTCATTCCTCAAAGGAGGTTTCTTTTAAATTCAAAGAAGTTTTTTTGATTATTCAGCTTTTGCCTCAAGCTGGTGGGTGACGTTGGGACTGAGGACATTTCTGGGTTTTTCACCATGTTTTTATGGCATAGAAAGAGATTATTTGCTTGCATAAAGTGTAATTTTAAGTCATATCTCAAGAACCTGGAGTTTCATTTTTCTCCTCCTAGTGAGGTCCTTGGTGCTCTCCGAGCTTGGTGGTTTTTCTTGCAGACATTTCATGATCCACCTAGGGAACATCATCAGTGCCAGAAGGGGCATTTGCATCAAACCACTTTCTCTTTTTAGCACTCATGATCTTATCTAGCCAGGTGAGTTGAGCTGCTTACAATATCATAAAATATGCAAATAGTAAAATATCCTAAAACCGGATTAAAATTACAAACAATTCATACAAACTAAAAACTTTTTTGTCTGTAACCATCTGCAAAAAAGATTGAAAACAAATAAGCATGCCATTTAGCTTAGCAGGTCATTTATCCTTGATGAAAATTTGAAAGCCATTTTCCTTTAAAACAAAAAAAAAAACCCTTCTTCATCAGCAACCAACAGCAGCTGTGTAATGGCAATCCCGGTTTAAAAGCTGGATTTAATGATGGTGGAAGTGTATTCTTTGAAACTTGGGGTAATTTTGAGGATGACACCCAATGTGAATGATCTCAGCTGAGGTCAGTTTTGCTGCTGTTGTGGCCTTCCTGCCGTACAGGTATTCCTCAACTTACGACTGCAGTTGAGCCCACAATTTAGGTTGCTAAGCAAGGCAGTTCAGTGAGTTTCCCCCCGTTTTCTGAGCTTTCTTGCCACAACTGTTATGTGAATCACTTCAGTTGTTTAGTCACACAGTTGTTAAGCAAATTTGGCTTCCCCATTGATTTTGCTTGTCAGAAGGTTGCAAAAGGGGATCACGATTCTGCGACCGTCATAAATACAAGTCAGCTGCCAAACATCTGAATTTTGATCACGTGACTATGGAGATGCTGCAGGGGTCATAAGTATGAAAAACTATCATGTCACTTTTTTCAGTGCCATTATAACTTCAAATGGACACTCAAGAAATAGTTGTAAGTCAAGGACTATCTGTATATACAACTGCCTTATTAAGTGACGGAAGTTCCCAGTTGTGGTTGTAAATCAGTGACTGCCTGCATGAGACCATTCTTTTCCTGTTTTATTTTCCCCAATATTTTCCTTTTCCACTGCTTTCTCTTAGTAAAACTAGAAGCTGAATTCTTTGGATTGCGTTGGGATTCCGGAATGAGGAACCAGGAGAAAAATTGTTTTGCAAGACTTGTGCCACAATTTGCTGTAACAAGGTTTACCCTATCAACGCATGTAAAAGTTCCTGGAAAATGGCATTTCCAGACCCTCTTCCTCCTTGGAGGTGGCTCACATTTCTGATATCGGAAGAATTGTTACAGTAGAAGGCCCTCGAGATACTTTGTGTTTCGCTTTTATTCTTTTTATATTAGGCTTTTATTATTTGTAAGCCACCCGGAATCGCTGTGAGTGGGCAGCTGTATAAATCCCCTAAATAAATAAATAGTTTGGGAAGGAAAGGTGCTGCTCTGCTGGACTCTTGGTATGACCGCACACATCCTTGAAAATGGATAGTTTTGCTGGGGGAAAAAACAAGGATTTACTGAAGGGAGGTCCTAGAATACTGTTTTTTGTTTTTGTTTTGGAGTGACACATAACAGGGCTGGGGAAAGAGCATCATGTTGAGAGTTTGTAAGTGAGCCAGGTTACTGCCTGTCCTCATTGAAAATCAGCATTCGTCACAAGTGAAAGTTTTTAAATCTGTAAAGCAGGCATTTTGGTCGCCCACCACCACTTTTAAAGTTTTCATGCTTTCTCTTTTTTTTTTTCCTCCTCCCTCTCTCTCCCCTCCCCCTTTGTACGGTTTTCATCCGGATCACAACAGGGAAGAAGACAGTGATGTAAGCACTAACTTACTCCACTTCTGTTTTGGTGGGAACGTGAGGGGGATTTTTGTTCTGTTTCGGGTATCTGGAAAAGAAAGATTTGACATGTGCCAGGAGTCGGCCATCAGAGGAAAAGTGGCCAAAAGAATGGGTCAAAAGTAAAATAAAAAAAAAATACAAACAAACTTTTACCCTTCCTTCCATGTCCCTCAGTAGGATGCTTGAGATATCCTCTCCTAATAGGTGGCCACAGTTGAGGCCAAAGTTCCCGTTGCTAAGCAAGGCAATTGTGAAGTGCGTTTTTGTGCCATTTTGTGAGATTCCTTGCCACAGTTGCTAAGTGGTTCACTGCTTAAGTCAGTAACACGGTTATTAAGTGAATCTGGCTTCCTTTTGACTTTTTGAGCCAAGGTGGCGCAGTGGTTAAATGCAGCACTGCAGGCTACTGCTAGATCAGCAGGTCAGCGGTTCAAATCTCACCGGCTCAGGGTTGACTCAGCCTTCCATCCTTCCGAGGTGGGTAAAATGAGGACCCAGATTGTTGGGGGCAATATGCTGACTCTCTGTAAACCGCTTAGAGAGGGCTGAAAGGCCTATGGAAGCGGTATATAAGTCTACTGCTATTGCTATTGCTATTTTTGCCCAAGAGGATCATGTGACCCCGGGGAGGCGGGGCGTCTGGATTTTGATCACGTGACCCTGAAGAATGCTAGAATGGCTGTAAGTGTGAAAAACAGTCATAAGTCACGCTTTTCAGTGCCATTGTCAGTTTGAACGGTTGGTAAACAAACTGTTGTACATCGGGGACTACCTCTGCTAGCCAAATCAATTACTAGCCAAATAACCTTAAAAGAAAAATCACAGATACGAAAATCTATTATTAGTCAACCAACTTGGCCTGCCATCTTATCTGGGAGATTCTGCTTTTCTTTGGGTCACAGTATTTCTTTTATTCACTCCTCTTTTTTTCCCCAAAACTGAACAGCTCTTAACTGGCTGCTGTTTTGCCTTTCAGGGCAAGAGCGAAAATGCCCAGAAGGCCGGCTTTCTCAAGGGCTCCGTCTTCAAAGGAGTGGCGTCGAGCCGTTTCTTACCAAAAGGCACCCGGACAAAAGTGAACCTGGAGGAGCAAGGGAGGCAGAAAGTGTCCTTCAGCTTCAGCCTTACCAAGAAGACGTTGCCCAACCGGTTTCTGGCCGCCCTGGGGAACGAGAAGTCCAGCGAGAGCCCAGGCACGTCGCTTTCGCCCCTTCCAAGTGACTTCATTTCTAAGCTGAAACCAGAACTCGGCGATCCCTTGGGAACCCCCGAGGAATTTTCTCCCCCGAAGCCGAAGGCGGAACTAGGCAAGATTCATTTCAAGAAACATTTGCTAAACGTGACCACGAAACCTTTCCCGGCTTCTGCATTGCCACCGGTCCCAGTGGCTCCACTGCCAGTTGCTGTAGCAGAATTGGGGGAGATGCCGTCATCCCCGCCTCCTCCCCCTCCTCCCCCTTTCCCCCCACCGCCTCCCCCTCCACAGATAAAATCAACTCCCACCCCAGTGCTGATTCCAGTAGGTGCACCCCAAATTGCAATACCAGACCCTGTTACCCCTCCCTTGACATCCCCTGTAGAAACCATCATCCGAATGATAAGAGAACCATCACCCAGCCCACCGCAGCAGGCTTTAGAACTACAAAACACTGTGCTGGGGGACTCTGAAGAACATCTGGCTCCGGGTGCTTCCGAGGAAGCCGAACCAGCATTGGTGAAAAGGCATTCCCACATTGGGAAGGAAGAAGAAATTGCAGACAACTCCAAAGGTACGCCAAGTTCAAAGAAGCCGAGGAGGAAGTTCTCATTGTCAGAGGGGGCGTTGCCAGGATCTGAATCAGATGAAGACTCGGTGAGGACCTCCTCAAGTCAGCGGTCCCACGAAATCAAAGCAGCAGCCAGTTCGGAGAAGGAAAAGGATTCACGGAAAAGCTCTGTGGCTTCAAAAATGGAAGAGCCACCAAAGGTCTCTTCGCGGTCTAGATCGGAAAGGGATGACAAATATTCCAGCTATTCCCGATCGGAGAGAGATTCGAGGTACTCCTCCCGGTCCAGATCAGAGAGGGAGAGGAGGCGAAGCCGCTCCCGCTCCCGTTCTAGATCTGAAAGGGGTTCTAGAACCAGCTCGTCTTATTCTAGATCTGAGCGGTCCCATTACTATGATTCTGATCGGAGATACCCCAGAAGCTCACCGTACAGAGAGAAGACACGGTACTCCCGTTCTTACGTGGACAGCCGGGTGAGAGAGAGTTCTGATTCGGAAGAAGAGTATCGGAGGGTGCATTCTAGATTGTCTACAGATTCAAGGCATGCGTCTTCTCATTCCTCATCTTACAGAGATTCTAGGACCTCGTCCTCTTACTCAAAGTCGGAGAGGGAAAGCAGCAAGACAGATTCCGCTTATCCTGACATGGAGAGAAGAGGAAAGCAGGCCAGGTCAGAAAGAGAAACACGAAGGATTTCAGAAAGTGACCTATCGAAAAGGTCCTCGCCCGTCAACGAGCCACGACATCGGCGGGAAGCTTCCCATTCTAAAGCAGAAGGTGGCGGGAATTCGTCCCGATCCAAGTCCACCTCTTCCAAGACATCTGCGCCCAAGTCAGATAAATTTAAGAGTTCTTTCTGTTGTACAGAATCTGAGGACGTCAAAGATCAGTCTAATTGTGTAGACTCGGAGACTTCTGGTGTATCAGGCTGTGAAATGAAAACCGCTCCTACCCAGAAGCCAGAAGCGGAGAGGACTGTCTCTCCAGTAAGCCAGTTCAGTGACTCACTGACGTTCAGAAAACTAGATGAATCAAAAACGGGTTCTCCTCTTTCTATGGTAAATGAACTTGCAGGAATCGATAGCCATATCAGTATTAAGGACACGGGATCTTTAGGTAGACATGAGCAATTAAGAACATCTTCTCCAGTAGAACTGGATGTAAATGGGTCCCCAGACAGGGGGACCCGGAAGAGGTTGTCCTCTTCCTTTGAAGAAGTAGAAGAGATCGACCTGTCTTCCGATGATGATTTAGATGGGTCTGAGCTACCCCCTCGAGCCAAAAGTCCTAAGCTGTCATCAAACGGCCTCCAAACCCTGTCCCCACCCAAAGGACACAATCCAGACGAGTCTGTCACTTTTTCTGGTGAACCCAACGTCCAGTTGCTGGAAGTAAAAATGGAGGTTTCAAATCCTTCTTCACCTGAATGTGTATCATCTTTCACCAAGCAGGTCAGTCACTGTAAAACCTTGTCTAAAGAAGGGAGCGATCCAACAGATTCCTCTTGTAAAACCAAAGATCCCGCCCCTTGCTACTCGCCAGGTGACACCTCTGTTTCTTTGTCTTATTCAGAAATTGAAATTGAAGTGGAGCCTTCAGTGGACACAGAAGCCGCTCAAGAACCTTATGTGGGCACTCACGCAAAGATCCCCGCTCAAACATTCACATCGGCTACTGTAGAGAATCAAAACCCATCCGAGTTGGCTCAGGAAAATGAGGAGTACACAGGTTTCAGTTCAGCGGAGCCCACGCCAGTCAGAGGTCAGACAACAGACGAGTATATTGTGGAAGTAGACAATCAGCAACAACCAGGTTCTGAAAATGCGCTCCATCTGGAGACACCCGTCCAGCAGACGGCTAAAGAAGTCCTAACATGCCCTGAAGTTGCCCTTGAGTTAGATGTCCTGCCTGCAGATTCTGTTGTTGAAGAAGCAAAATCTCCTTTGAAAAACGAGCATTGCTATTATTTAGAGATGCCAGTGAAGGAACCCGAGGAGGTTCCTGAGAAGGAAGAACTTGAGGAGAAAGAGGAAGCGGTCTTTGATGAAGGGATGATGTCCGACTTAGACAGACCAACTCCTGGAGTTTTGGTGATGAAAGACAAAGAGGAGTCTCTGATGGAACCCACCTTTTCGGAAGTGTTGTCTCCTTCTTGTCACATTGTTGTCACCGTAGAAGAAACCGAGACCATAGAAGAAGAGCCCAGATATGGCAGCAGCTGCAATACTCCAGAAATCTCTTCCGTCCACAACGAAGATTATTCTGATACGGCTGAAAGCGCAAGTGAGCATCCGAGTGACGAGAGCGATACTGAGGACTCCGATTCGGACGATAGCAGCGTTCCCAGAAACCGCCTTCAATCTGTGGTGGTCATTCCGAAGAATTCCACCCTAACCCTGGAAGAGAGCAGCTCCTGTTCCTCACGGAATAGCCAGAGTAATCGACGTTACGTGGACTCCTGGGAAGAAAGCCGCCCCGAGTCCACCAAGCCGTTCTGTGAAGATGTGCCGGATAGCTTGGAACTGAATAACAACCTGCCAATCGAAACCAGAACTTTGCCTTCTAGAGAGTCAGAGAGAAGCTTAGCAACGTCGACAGAGCTCAAGAGAAGTGACGGGTCCGGGGGCCCTCAGCCGGAGGCCTCCCAGCCTCAGAGCGACGATGTGGACAGCACCAGCCACTCCGAACCAGCTACCGATTCTTTCCACAAGCCAGACGAGAGAATCGTCTACAACGAGACGACCTCGGTCACTCGGTCGGTCGGCGTGTCCCAGGGAGAAGATCTGCACTACCTTTCCAGTTTTGAAATGACCAACGCAATGGCTGGCGCCTCCAAATTGGACCGTAGGCAGGGGAGGTCTACTTTTGCGGGACCTTCCCATCCTGCCGATTTCTCGCGGGAGGATGGCTTTCATTCAACGGAGGACTTGGGGAGTTTGGGGTGGGATTTCTCCCAACCAGAGAAGCCCAGCACCACGTACCAACAACCTGATAGTAGCTATGGAGTTTTCCCAGGATATATTTATCCCCCGCCCCCAGTCCCGTACATGGGGTCTAACAACTACTGGCCTGACAATGGCTACTGGGATCCAAGACTGACCAGCCGACCTTCTGCCATTAGTTACGAGCGTCTCCAAGGACAGGTCCCCGATTCGCTCACTGAGGATCACGAGGAGTACGAAGAAGTGGACCGATGGGTGGACGAAAGCCAGCTCTATTTCCCTGACCAGTCTGTGAAGTTCCAGTCACGGGACCCCAGGGAAAAGGGGTCAGTACAGGCCCATGAGATCAGCAGCAACTCAGCTAAGGACTTCCCGACGGTGAGAGAGAGAAAAGAACAAGGGGCGAAGGCGATGGAAAGAAACGACATGAAGGAACGGGGCCCATTAAAGAAAAGAATAACCGACTTGGGGAGCGATTCGGAGAGTGACGGGGGTTCCCAGGAAAGGAAGAAAATCAAAACAGAGAGTGAGCCGTTGGCCATCCTGCCCCAGGGTTCCCCGACGGGTCGTCCGTTGTGTTTTATGGAAGACTTCCGGGACCCCCAGCGTTGGAAGGAGTATGCGAAGGAAGGGAAAATGCCCTGCTACTTCGACCTCATTGAAGAAAACGTGTATCTGACAGAAAGGTAACATTTATTTATTTATTTGTATCCCATCTTCATTATTTCTACAAATAACTTGTGTCCATCACAACTTTCTTCTCATGTTTTAACAACCCGTGAAGTGGATTGGGCTGAGAGAGATTACTCTACAGAAAATTTGCCCAGTCACTTTTTGTGCCTAAGGTGAAACTAGGACTCATTGTCCCAAAGTCACCCAGCCAGCTTTCATGGCTAAGGTGAAACTAAAACACACCATCTCCTCCTGGTGGTTAGCCCAAAGTTACCCAGGTGGTTTTCATGCCTAAGGCAGGACTAGAACTCCCAATGTGGTGATTGGCTCAAAGTCACCCCTCTGGTGGTTTTTATGCCTAAAGTGAGACTAGAACTCACAGTGTCCTGATTTATTGTTAAAAACTTGTCCACAGGAATCTTTTCAACTACCGGGTAGCTCCTGCTAAGAGTTAGATAAGGGTTAACAGAATTCAAGGAGAGTTGGACTTAACTCCTTTGTGGCTACCTAAGGATGCTAGGCTAATGCCACTTTTCACTCCTCCCCACAATTCTGCCACTCTTTCTCTTGCAAGGGGCATGAAATTCCAAAAAGCAAGGGCATGAGTAAAAAATGTTCTTCTCTTGGATCCTGCCAGCAAGAATTCTTTGGCTGACGGTTTCCTGAGTATACCCCTTCTGGTGGACCAATGGTTGCAGGATTTGACTATCCCAGGGAATCTAAAATGTTGCACCTAAGAGTGTGAGAACGAGGGGGATCACTACGATTCCATCCTGTACTTTTGACTTGCTTGGGGATCTCGGCGGGGGGGGGGGGGGGGGGGGGGGGGGAAGGAGGAACAGCTTAAGTGGTACTCCATTCATACCCAGTGAGGAGAAAATGCTTTGGATCGGTTGTGAATTTACTTGTGTGTCTAATGGCTCATTAAAGTAGCTACATCTTTTTTGTGGGTTCATCTGGCTGCAGCATTCAAATTGGGTGTGAATTTACTCACGTCTGAAGGCTCATTAAAGTAGCTACGTCTTTTTATAGGGGTTCATGTGGCCGCAGAATTTAGACAGCTCTGGATATGTAGGAAGGCCAACACAACTGGCAGCTGTGACTTCACATAGTTGTGAAGACAAAACAGCATGCCCACCAAAAACAGTTATAAATAAAGGACTTGTGAGGTTCTGGAACTGTTTGGCCTTAACCTTAAAGACACTGAAGTTAAGAGGTAGCAAAATAATTAGGCCAGATTTATTTATCCTATTCAAAAGGAAATTTTCCTAATTATTTTTTTTTTGGTGGGGGGTGTCCATGTAACATCATCTTAGAAAAAAGAATAAGTCGCACCGAGACATCAAACGGATGCTGTGTGAATGTCCAACTGTTTCCAAAGAAGAGCTGGCCCAGGGAGAAGCCGCGTGCGGAGAGGATTGCCTGAATCGTCTGCTGATGATCGAATGGTAAAAAAAACCCTTTTGCTGCCCTTTTCAACGCCATGCAGGGAGAAAAACGGGACCCGTTTTCCCATGGTTAAAATTTGCACAAGCTCATCATTTTTATTTTAATAGTCGACATTGGTGGATGAGGAATATACGGCTTTCCTCCCTCTTTTTCCTTAGCTGGCAGTCGTAAGGTTTATATTGTTTGCTAACTTTTGCTTAAAACAAGTGTAGTTCCCTCTTGCAAGTAGTCCTCGACTTATGACTGCAGTCGAGCCCAAAGCTATGGTCATAAATAATGCTGGACATTAATTGGGCCACCATATGCCCATGCTTGATTTTATGACCTTTTTGCAGAGGTCGTTAAGTGAATCCTTTACCTGCAATGTTTTTTGGGGGTTTTTTTGGCAAAAAAAGAAAAGTAAATACTGTTTTAGTAAAATCAACAACCCCAAACTATCATTATCATGAATTGTAGTTTCGGTGCAAACAGCTGTAAACATGGTCCAGTTGTTGAGTGTCATGCAGTCGTGACCAGTAGGAGGACAGGTGTCAAAGCTTTAAATCAGGGCCATAAGCAGACCTGGGGAAGTCTGTCACTAAGCAATTGGTCATAAGCCAAGGACTACCTGTACTGATAGGATTAAACCTTTTTCTTCAGTTTTTATTCATTTGGCTCTTGCGTTTCTCTCTCTCCTTTATGTTCAGCAACAACTTCCTAAGAAAAATAGGATCTTGTTGTTGAGAGTGTCAAAATAGAGGCCAGACCTTTCTTCTGGGTCCCCCATAGGGGCTTTCTTAAGAGAGGAGACCCGTAACATCTTCTGCCTCCTCCCAGCTCTGGTGTGTTGGGTGGAAATGATGGTCCTTCAAATAACAGGGAGGGATCCAACACAGAGAAGGTCCTCATTCTATGTCCCACCAGATGGACTTTCTTAAGAGAGGAGGCCCATAATATCTCCTGACTCCCCATTCCGGTGGATTGGGTAGGTATAACTGGGGAAAGAGGGTAAATAATAGAAGGAGCCCCCATGGAAAAGACTCTTCTGGGCCTCACCAGATGGGCTTCCTTAAAAGAGTTGACCCATCACATCCCCTTCCTTCCTGCTCCGGTGGGTCAAATGAATCTTAACTGGGAAAAGAGGGTGCTTCAAGCAACAAGGGAGGGAGCCACCATGGAGAAGTTCTTTCTTCTGGGCCCCACCAGATGGCGCTCTTTTAGAAAAGGGATTATAACATCTCCTTGCCCCTCTCTGTTCAGTTGGGTTGGATAGGTACGACTTGGAATATATGCCACAGAGCCACTCTGCACGTGGGTCAACTTGCTCTCTGTTGTCCTCAGTTCCTCAAGGTGTCCCAACGGAGAGCATTGTTCGAATCGGCGGTTTCAGAGGAAGCAGCACGCAGACGTGGAAGTCATCCTGACGGAGAAGAAGGGCTGGGGGCTCAGAGCAGCCAAGGACCTTCCTTCGTAAGTCTCCACCAACTGCGCTCGCTTTTGAGAAGCACAGAAATCTTGCACAAAGGAAGCTGCGCCTGCTCTGAGGTCCTGGGGGGGGGTGGATCCTTAGCCACACATATGTCTTCGTGGTTCTGTGAATCGTGGGGGTTTTACGCTTTTATGGGTGTCTTGTATCATACCTTCATTATTTTTACAAATGAGGTTGAACACAATTTCCTCTTCCTATTTTCCCCGCAACATCAACTCTGTGAAGTGGGTTCGCTGAGAGAAGGGACGGGGCCCAAAGTTACCTAAGTTGGTACTAGAACTCGCGGTCACCTGGTCATTGGCCCAAAATCATCCAGCTGGCTTTTCATGCTTAAGGCTGTACTGGAACTTACTGTCTCCTAGTGATTCACCAGTTAACCCAGCAGTCTTTTCATGCCTGAGGCGGGACTAGAACTCAGCGTCTCCTGCTTGATAGCCTGGTGCCTTCACCACTAGACCAGGGGTCTGCAATTTTAAATACTCAAAAGAGACATTTGGACCCGTTTCCCACAGAAAAGAAAACACAGCGGGAGCCCCAAAACACGGGTGGGCGTCGCCAACTCAAAAGTCACTCCAGCCCAGTCACATGACACACACACCCCAGCTGTGCCTACCCAGGTTTTTTGGCTCCCGCTGATTTCTGTGGGAAACAGTATCTATCTATCTATCTATCTATCTATCTTGTGTGAATCCAAAAACTTGGGCTGTGGAGGGGGGAGTGGAGGCCGGCAGGTCTTGGAGATCCAGGCAACTCCAACTCAAATCCTATCGGAGACATCCCTCTCTTCCCCCCGTGGTAGGGGCCCGGGAGGCCCAAGGGGTGCTCCCTCCTCAGAGGCGGCCAGCGAGCAAAAAGATGTGGTGCTCCTGCTGGGAGACGGTGGTACAGAGCGCCATCTCTGGCTGGTGAGAGCGGAGCAGACAGAGCATGCATCTACCCGCTGGCACCATGATGGCACTGGCCGACCTCTATATGTAGGTAGGAAGCAGAGGTGCTGCCAAGGGGCTCCTGTGGCCGCTGCACCTTGCGGGGAGCCGCGGCAAGGTCTCCTCACCCAGCCCCAGGAAGCCTCCAGGGCCGGCGCCATTGCGTTCCCTGTCAGCTGGCAAGACGATGCAGCACCTCTCAGGTGGAGGGAGGCCAGGCTGCAGCATCAGGAAGAGGGCAGCGGGCGGGTGCTCCCCCGTGTTCCGAGAGGGAGGGCTCAGCCATCCGGGTGGAGGCAGGTGCCACGGTAGGTGGGATGGAGCCAGGAGGGATGCGCAAGCCGAACATTTGGAGATGCGCTCAGCGGAGTTTGCAAGCAGGCCCAGTGAGGGCACAGCGTGGAGGAAGACCCCGTCCCCTTTGGTTTGCTTTAGCGGGCGATGGGAATGCAGATAGCAGCAGAGGACATCCGTGCCTTCGATCCCGCTCTGGAATATGGAGTGAGTCTCCATGCCCCGCTGTCAGGGGATAACCCTAACCCTTACCTTTTCAGGCCAGGTGAGGAGTCACTGGGAGGGGAGGGCGAGGTGGGGCCAGCCAGTGGTGGGATCACCCAACGGAGCCGCAGCAGAGAGATGGAAGAACCACACCCGCTGTAGACCAAACACGAAGAAGATACCATGATGAGACTTTTAACCGTCCTCTGCAACCGTTCCATGGCTCCAGAATCTGATGAAGGGTCTCCTCCCCATCACAGTCAATTATTAAAACCAGGCATTAATAAGAATAATCTCCAAACCTTCCTTCTCCTCCCATCTTCTTCTCAAGAAGGAAGATGGTAAGTGGGTACAGATAGTCCTCAACCTATACGCCAAGGTGGCGCAGTGGTTAAATGCAGCACTGCAGGCTACTGCTAGATCAGCAGGTCAGCGGTTCAAA